ATTTTTTTTTATGGTCTTTGCCAGTTTTAAGATGAGAGCTTGAAAAATGCCATTAACATGAAGAATGGTCACAAGGTAATAAAGAAACAATCTTCTCACTTTAATGACTTGAGCTAAAAGCTAAATGACTGTAGCAGCTCAGATTGTAAAAGCAGTGGGAAATTTAATGAACAGTGACCCCACAGGAAAGTCAATCTGTCTATTAATGTTTAGTTCTGTCATTTCTTCTGAAAAGTAATAAACTTCTATTATATAATCTATTGGTTACAGAACCTGGGGTCAGGCTCCCGTTGAGTTTAACTCTGCCAATCTGCCTCAGCTGAAATTACTGACCTTCCCCATGTAATAGGTAAACATCCCAAGCAAGAAATAACTGTGCAGATACTCAGGGAAACAGTATGATTGTGAGGAAAGGAAATTGTCGTGAACTTGACTGCTAAAGCTCTAAATGGTTTTCAAATTCCCCTAATGATAAGCTGATTCAGCCAGTTAAATTATGTAAAATATAATGAACAAAATTGTGATTAGTCAGTAGTGGCTGATGCCCCAGATCTATAACATGTCATTCATCTGGATGCTCTAGAATACTTATTGCAAATCTTGTAGCAAAAGTGGCAATCAAGTAAGAGATAAAAATACGAACCTTTTTGCTTATGTTTAGCTATTAAGAACATGTATTTACTTAACCAGGTAGTGGCAAGAGGCATCTTGAAAATTGGCTGATTTAGAGAAGTGTATTTTAACTACAGGCTAAAAGCTGGAAAGCTCCAAACTTAATCATCCACACGGGTTAATCCTGTGAGCACAGGCCTGGAAGAGGCTGGAGAAGTCTGCTTCTGGAGAAGTCTGCAAGGCAGAACCTGCCCTGTCCCATGGAATTCTTCATTTGGGTTAAAGTTTCAGATTGGCTTTGTTGTAATCTTCTCTACTTAAATCAGAATCCGATCCTGTTTGGTTATGCTTTGTGACCAGCATGTTTGAGTGGCTTTGCACAGCAACTTGTCCTGTGAGAATGGGACTGTGCATGGTTGGGATGTCACTTTGGAAGTGACTGAGCTGACAAAACTCTTCAGCCACTCTTCTTTCTTTTTCCCAGTTAAATAGTAGCAATTATCCAAAGTCCAATCTCTGTCACATACATCCATCACAGTGTTCAAACTGGAGACTTATGAATTGGTTACATACTACATGTCACTTTAAATCTGTATTTTCTTCTTTACGACACTTTAATAAAAATTGTGTATGCCTATTTACATATGTTTCTCACAGATAACATTTCTTTAAAGTCCACTCAAGTTTATTTTTGCTTGAAAGCCTATTGCAATTTGTCTTCAAATATACAGCACAAGTAGAGCTTCACATTTTAAAAGTCACAGAACTTTTTATAGTTTCCATCATTTTTTCCCTCTTTTTTCTTTTTTTTTTCTAGGCTGGCATTTGGTTCTGTGGGCTGGAAAAACTGCTTTCCCCATTAGTAACGTCCTTTTCCATTAAACAAATCTTGTTGATGTAAAGGAAATTTTCCATCCAGTGGTTTGGCATTGCTGAAGATACTGAAAAGTTGGTACAAATTAGTCTGGAGAATGCCACTATTTTAATGAAAACAATGAACCTATAAAGGCTCATAATGGTCTTCAGGTTGCCCTGACACCAGGGCAGAGCCAGGATGGGGACGGTGACCAGCAACCACCTGAGGATGTCCAGGCATGGCTGGGGCTATGGGGCAGCTCCAGGGCCCAGCCAGGGCCCAGCAGGTGAAGCTGGGACAGCAGGGGCTGCCCCTAGACTGGGGCAGAAGCCCTCAGTGCTCTTCCTCACTGCAAGGATCCCGCCTTGGGCAGGGGCTGCAGAGCCCCAGGTGTCCTGGCCCTGGCCTGGTTTGGTCCCCATAACCAGCAGGATCCTCTTTTTGGTGCTGCCTGTTGCCTTCTGCCCACCCCACAGGGGTGTGACAGGGCAGGCGGCAGCACCGCAGCCTCCCAGCCTGGCCCTGGTATGACCTTTGCTCCTTTGGCACGCCTGGGCACAGTCCTGATGCACGACTATTTTTGCTCATGCTTTAATCTGCTTAACATTTTTACCAGAAATGTTTTCTCTCTCCTGGCAGAGTCGTGTGTGTTCAGTGTGTTCAGCCAGCAGCGGCCACTTGGTGCCCCCACGCTGGGCTGTGCCCAGCTTCGGGCTGCACCACTCCCACCTCACCTTTTCCTGAGCAGAGCTTCCTGGTGTCTTTCTCAAAGTAAATTTGGAAACTACAGACTTATTAATGAACCCTTTCAAATACACCTTGTGGGGAAAGGTACCACATCAGTCTTCTGTGTGAGTGTATGTTGTCTCTCCGGCCAGCAGAAAAGCCGTGGGCTGAAGTGCAGTGGTAGCAGTGCTCCCTGCCCGCCTGTGGCATAAAAAGGAAAGCCAAAATAAAACACAGAGTAAATTAATTTTTAATTTTTCATGGTGGCAGCACAGCCACTTCTCACAGCAGGGCACAGAATCATTAGAGACTGATCTGTCCTAATAGGTACAGAAGTACTTCTGTAATTATCCGAGTACAGTTTCTTTCCAATCTGGTAAGACTTGCCTCCCCAGCACTGACACAGTCCCTGTGGCATCAATGACTCTGCTTTCCAACATCCCCACTCCTGATCTCGGAGGCATCAGCTCATCCTCACGAATAATGACGGCCTTGTGCGTGAGTCTAACATGGAGTGTGCAGGGGACACGTGCACGAGCCGCAATTTCACCGACAGTGACTAATCAAACTACTTAATTCTTCCATTCCACAGAGCTGCCCGACAGTTCACAGCAATTAAATAACAAGATATGTGGGAGAAGCACACATAGTAATACCTGTGCCATGCAAAATATGTTGACCCTTTTGTGTCTGCGGGTCTGGCACAACCCACACCCTGGTTGCTGCCATCTGCCCACACCGGCACGGTCGGTCGGCTGCAGGCTGGTGGGCAGGTTTGCTCTGGAGGAGTCAGTGCTGCCAGGCCTTCCTGCGTCCCTGCAACACCTTCCCTGCCTTCCTGTGCTCTTCGACTGCTGCTCATCCTGCTGCAAATAGTGCAGTCACAGCCAGCTGTTAGGATCTGATTATTAAAAAATACCTCTGCCTGAATTAAGGTGCAAAAGAGATCATATGCCAAAGTCAATAGCATGGATTTTATTTGACAGTAAATGTGAGGGAGAGAGAAACAGGAAGAGGGGGGAGGGGGAGAGAAAAAGAGTGAGAGGAAGAGACAGATTAAGTAAAAGATCACCACCACATGGATTCTGTTGGCATCCTCGCTTTTTCTGATCTTCTCCGTGGTGAAAGTCCCGAAGTTGTGCTTCTGTGATACTACTTTTATACAGTCCAAGTCCTGGATATTCACAGGGCACCAGGAGATATTCCCACAACTTGGAATGGCATGGGTGTAAGTAGTTGTTTTCTTTCCCACAGCTTGCACAGTGAAATATTGGTTTGCTCATTTCAAACCTTCACCTTCATTTAGGTTTGGAATTAACACTTTCCTTTCTCACAGTTTTGCACAGTGGGAGTCTTTATCTGGATAGGTTACCCAGATCTGCCCTACCAGGCCTGGTTCCTGTTGTGGCCATGTGGTCTTATCACAGGTTCCTTTTCTGGTGACTTATCTTATGGGAATTTCTTTCTTTGACTGTGTTTTGAGACAATGAATTGCATTCTTTAAGTCCTGACACCGGTACAGTCCTTTATCTCACCTTACTTACTTATTTTGAGCAGTTGCTTGTAAAAATGTGTTTCCTCCTTCCCACAGTGTTAGTCACAGTATTTCTGACATAGTTCATCTCTCATTTACCTGTCAAGATCTGGTTAAGGACTCTGCATCCTCCTTTCTAATAGCTGGTGACACTGCAAATCACTACCAGAGCCTGCAGCTGGCGAGTAACTGCTGTGCAACACAAAGCAAAGACAAATCACTCGTCTATGACAGTATCACTCAGAAAAAAGTATTTCAGCTGCATCTGATAAGACAGCTGCAAAATATGTACAGCCTTTTGGTGTATAAGAATATGAAGTATGTGGGGAAAAAAAATATTTCTGGATGGCGCTATCAAAAATGTTTAGCACATGGTTAGCAGTTTCCAGTCAAGTGGAAGATAAACCTTTTATAGACTGCAGCGATTTGCTGTCAGTGGCACTTTCAAAAAGCTCAATTCAGATCAATCAGGTTAGGAGGTGATACAGACATTTGTCAGCTAAACAAAGGAGGTTACAGACCCGAGGGTGAGATACAAAATAAGGCATTTAATTGCATAAGGGTCAACGAAAGTAGCACACAAACCTATGGAATTGTATTCATACCGTTAGTCCTATTAAAACATCTGATAAACGGGCTACCCCCTGAGGATGAGTTGTAGCATTGAGCCTCCAGTTTAATTGTCTTATAGAATGTCTGAGACATTAAAAAAAAAATGGTTTTCTTCCAATGTTTAGGTGTCCTACATTGGATAGCAGCAGAGGGGCATATTAGCTTCTGTGAGATGAAAGAAATTTAATGCATACTGATTATATTTTACTGCTATAAGCAAAACAGCAGCACTTTAAAAGAGTAAAATGCTCTTTCTATAAATACTACACATATATTGTAGAATGAAATTCCTGGTCCCAGAGCCTGATCCTTTTTTGTGAAGGGAGGAAGCGCGATGGATGTTGCTATATTGCCCTCTCGTGGGTCGAGCCTGCAAACAGCAGCTGAACGTGCCGGAGCTGCCACTCAGTGTCACTCACGAGTTTTCAGCGGCCTGAGCTGACAGCCAAGGGGTGCCCCGCCTGAGGAGAAAGGGTTGGGAGGTCGGCACGTGGTAAATATTTAGTCAAATACGTCCATTTCCCCCTAAATTCTCTGTTTCTATATATTTCTGCAGAATATAGCTCTGAGGGTAGGTCCCTGATGGAATTGCAAATGTTGTCCTGTAACATCAAAACAATAAGCGGTAAAAATACAGTACCACTCCTCTTCCCAATTCTCTTTCTGCAGGACTTGATGCAGCAAACAGTAATTAAAGAGCAGGAGGATGAACAACACTATTTGGTGTCACAATATGCAGATGAAGCGCATGCCAGAAGTGAAGGGAGCATACCAGGGAAGACAGTCTACACACAGATCCATTTTACTGTGCTGTGAGTGATGTCATCTATCACACAGAGTGCTGCAATTGCCTCCCACATTGCTGAATCTCATCTCTATTCTATCCTGCTCTTCTGGGAATTTTAAAACAGCGTTTTCCTGTCTCGCCGAGGTACTTTTGTCACCCGTGCTGAGAGAGTTGTCTGAGTAGTTCATAGTCTCTGAAATATTTATCCTCTCACTTTTCTTGTCAGGTAAGAAAATTCTCCATTTTGCAGATGACAAAGTGAGGCACATGGATTAATTCTCAGTTCAAAAAAGAGATTTATTCATGCAAAGTGGTGCTTAGGCAGAATTTAAGAGTCTATATCCAAAATGTACATTGTGAAAAGCCCTGTTCAAGGGTTGGAGGCGTCTGATGGCATGCAAGGAAGCTGTCAGGGAGTTTCCTTCTCTGCCTGAGGGAGAGGAAAAATGACAGCAATTCAACTCTTTGTTATAAGCCATTTATTTCTATACATGAAATAAAAGTTATGAAATAAAACTGCATTCAGATAAGACTGCATGCAGCCTCTGCTACTCATAACCACCTTGGGGTGGAGGAGGAACAGCTTATAAATCTCCCAGAAGGGAAGGAATCAAGGTAGGATCTTGTCCTCCCATGCTGTGACTTGCTGAGGGAAATGCTGCCTCTCTTGTTTTATGCACGTTGGACACCTACATCCCCAGGGAAAACCTTCCCTGAGAGCCTGCTGCAGTGTCAGCAGCCAAACTACACACGGCCTTGGCTTCACTGAGCTGACCAGAGAGGCTTATGCTGAATTTGTGAGGCTGTTTGGGGCCTGACCTGCTGTTCAGAATTCATTTCTGAACTCTGAACTATCTTGGAGTTCAGTTGAAAAGACTTTATCACAAAACAGGATGCCCTACTTCCGACTGATAACCTATAGCACTACTCTGGGAAACACCAAACCTGCATCCTAGGCTCTTCTAATCCCATGAAAGTTTGAGCCTTCATCTCCCTGACCTCAGAAAAATGCCCTGAACATCAGGTGCTGATTATTTGGGGTGGGAATGGTCCCCATTACTCTCGGGCCACTGAGAGAGGAAGGTCTGCAGCACCAGCAGAGAGCAGCCATGACCTGCAGCTCAGAGGGCTGTGTGCCTTCTGCAGGCAGGACTCTGGCTCCTACTCTAGAGTATTTTTCTCTGTTTTATGAGAGATGTGTTTCAATTTCCTTATTAGCACGAGGAACCACAGGGTGCCCCTCCTCAGGCTAAGTGCCTACAGCCAAAGCTACTGATCCAGTCCCCTGTGGGGATTTTGCTCTCACAAATCCACACTTTTGACTACAGAGCAGTCTGAGCTCAATAAGAGGTGACAATCACCCCTGTGCAAAATGCCTCATAAACTGGCAACTCTTCCTGTAATGCAGAGCCATTTGTTCAAACAAAGGGAAGGGTGATGCTGATTTGGGAATTACTCTCCTGGGCACATTTTGTAATCCCTGGCTATGCAAGAGAGCAGGCAAGACACTGCAGACACTGAATCCCTATTTTTACAGGGAAACATCAAAGACAAGTTTTCAGTTCTCTCAGTGTTTCTGATTGACTAGTTTGAAACTCTCCTGTGCTCAGCAATTTGGCTTTTGGACATTCCCATCTGAATGCCTGATTTTCCTGTCTTTGATGGAGAGTGACTGTCACCCCACTGTCACAGGCAGAGTGGGAGATTCAGACAAAGTTTATTAAAGGAATCCTCCCACTGAATCACAGGGTACAGCAAGGACCCCTTTGCTTTCTAAATTTGCTACAAAAGATCCAATCTTAGCCCCAGACTTTGTCAATAGTTTATGTGTGAAGTATTGTATAGGTGTAATTGAACCTTCATACAACGTTGTCACCAGGATTAAGGATGGCAAACCATATATATTTATAGAAATATATATATGATTTATTATGATAATGATTAGAAAAAGTTCTTAATCAGAATTATTAATGACACACTATAGGAGCTATAACAATATTACAATACTATTATAATATAGTGCACTATGAAGCAATATTGAAGCTACATATGTATATATATGCCATTGTATTAAAGCTAGCAAAACCAATTGAGTAGAGATTGATGTCACCCATATCAATAACTGTGGGCAAATCACTTTCACTCAACCTCAAGGAGTAACACTGAGGGACAGCTTCACTCAAGGGAGGAATCTCCATACACACACTCCCAAGAAGACCCTGCCATTAAAATTTCGGACTGGGCTTTTATAGTATAAAGTGACTGACTGTCCATCATATATCTCCAGGCTGGCTGTGTCAGCTCAGCAGCCTTAGACAAGCAGTTGGTATCACTTGTTTCTTCCTTTATCCAGGTGCTTTGCCAGGCCTACCACATCTTCACCTCACTATCAGGATGTTTAACTTTGGGATTGATGAGTCAGACTGATTTCACCATTATTCAACACCAAAAGCAGCATGACTCCTCTGTCTCCATTTACCACTAGTAGCTTTGCAAATTGGGCATTATTTGAGTTGTTCTACCCCATTCCAGGCAGAGCATCCTGCTACAACCACCAAGGCACCCCTGCAGATGGCATTGCAGAGAGGGTGCTGGCAACCCTGGTGCCACAAGCTGCACATTAAAACTCTCAAAGCCCAGTACTGGACACCTGCTAAAGTGCTCTCATCTGTTGAAAGCAAGCAGCCATGTTAGATAGAAAGCTTTGTTTTTGTTCTTGTGTTTGGAACAAATCACTCTAGAGTCCAAATTACATCTGAAAGAGGTTATTCATGTGGCTTACCAACAGCACTTAAATTTAGGCAACTAATTTAGCCATCTGAATTGGGAGACTATCCTGCCTCATTTTCTTTGTATGGAGTGTGGGGAAAGAAAAACTCACCCAGAAGCTTTTCAAAGCTGGAACTAAAAGTCAGGGGCTGTTTTCAAGTCATCAGTGGTGGGTTACATTACAATGCAGTGCAACATCTGGATTTTCTGATTTGTCCTCTGAAGGACTCTCACATCTGCAGTGGTAGGAGTAGGCACATATAAGACCAGGCACGTCCTTCCATTAAGAAGTGTATCTGTCTCCTAAATGTGACTATGTGAAGAGGAAGAGCATTAGCACTTTTCTACTTGATAATGCAACTCAGCAGTAAGGGAAAGTGTTACATTAGGAAACACACTGTTTTTACGTAGACTGCAGACATCTTCTTTTGAAGCTTCATTCAGCAAATAATTTGGAAGTTGATTCAAAGCCCAGATAAAGAAGACCATGTCTTACTATGTACATGTCTTTAAGCAGATGTCTAAGGACATGTCTATTCAGCAAAGCACACTCATGTGCATTTAAATCCCACTGGAGGCCAATTTTCCCCCATAAGTGCATTATTGAACTGGGATTTTGAAATACATCATTGCTTCTGTTTGAAATCTTTCCTCACTTTGGAACTCTACTGTTTCAAGAAAAAAAAAGCCATATGGAACTAATCATGCACATTTTGTCTAGCAGATAGGCATTATAGCAGATTGTGTTTTCCCTTCAAGTGATTGTCCATATGAGCAGGCAAACTGTGGTGTGTATATAGCTGAACATGCAAGACAAGGTTTTCAGCCATAACAACATCCATACTGATGTACCTCCTGCTTAGTCGCATAATTATGAGATGAGAACACTCTTCACTGCCTATCTGCCAGACAAATGAGGCTTCCCTTCCCTTCCCTTCCCTTCCCTTCCCTTCCCTTCCCTTCCCTTCCCTTCCCTCTCCCTCTCCCTTTTCCTGCCCTCTTACAGACCTTACTGCTTTTTAGCTTGTTATCTCCTCATTTGCTTCCATTTAACAACTGGTCCTTCTATTGACTCCTCAGAAACATAGAGTTCAGACTACAGAAGAGAGATTTCCCATTCTGGCAGATATTCCACAAGCTACTATACTGCCCCAGAGAAAATGCTCCTGGGAAGTATATGACTTCTGAAACTTCAGTACTGGCTTGCAGAGAATCAAGAGAGGATCAACACTGCAGGATGTCTACAAACCATAACCCCAGGGCTAGAAAGGAAGCATCAACCACCACTAATCCTTATATGAGAAGCCTGGACAGAGAGGACACAGTAAGTAAAGTTGTACATAGCTAACTTTTTTTTTTATAATTATCAAGTACAGAGTTCTTTTCACTCTTTATATACATCTCTGTCTAAATAACTTCTTGTATAAGCTTTTCTGTAGTATGACATCGCATTTCAGATATATCCAAAGTTCTTAATCAAACCACTTCTCATTTCTACCTAATTAAAAAAATCATCCTTCTCTGGTTGTGACTGAAATATCTTTTGTCAGCAGCAGAGGCCACACAACACAGGCTAGTGTGTTAAACATGTTTTTTTTTATATTCTTTGTGTTTTACTCAAACGGGATACATCCTTCCTCAGCTCTTTATACCCAGTACAGAGAGATCATCTGAAAATCACAGTAGCAATCAGCTTGCATTTAAGATGATCCAAATGTAGCACCTGTGGAATATATGGCACAATTTTTAAAGGAGCCTGTAAGTGTCTCTGTTCTCACTCATGTGGTGAGCACTGGGTTCATCCAGAGTGAGACCTTACTCTGACCTAAAGACAAATGGCAGGTTGTTGAACTGTGTAAATCAGATGCCAAGAAAGAGCAAAGAGTAAAGTTTTATCAGCTCACAAAGTACCCTGGTTCTTTCTCATTAAAAAGTGACAGGTATAGTTCCAACTAAAATTGCTGTGTCTGTGTAACTTTTTTTCATGTCACAACACTGGGCCTACAAGGCAAACTCACCCCAGTTCTTTTCACTTAAGGCTTCTTAGCCAGAGGTATTCTGAGCATTTTATTAGCAGTTGTTTGGAGTCTAAAGACAACATGTTCATTCCTCCAACTCTTGAAAACAGACCTATGCATTATGCCATAACATTATCTAATTTACACACACAGAAACACACCTAGTACGTATAGATATGTGTGAATATTATTTTCTGCTGAAAAATTATATTTTAAATATTTTTCAGAGCGTGTTAACAGTATTTCAGAAGGTGAATATTTTTGTGTCAAGATTTGCATCAATCCTTGTCTGTAAATCAAAAGGGGATAAAAACTCAGGAGTAACACAACTAAAATTTCTCAAATGTGTCCTAAATTACTCTTCTATGCTTGAAGATTCTCGGTGATTAAAGGTGTGTATCTCAGCACTCTCCAGTTCTCTGAACTAGTTTAGTGGATATGACTCCAAAGCTCTTTCTTCCATTAGCGTTTTAGTATTGAATTGCATTGATCCTACCACAAATACTTGTCCAACATGGAATATCGAATGCCAGGAGAAGATAATATGGAGGAACCTAAATTTCCCACAGGGCAGATGAATACGAAGGGAGATGATAGGAATTTATGGTAGGGTAAAGTCTGAAACATTTTTGTAATGGCCATTTGGATTAGGCAGGCAACTGTAGTGTCAAATGGGCTTCCAGCAGAGGGAGATGGAAAAGTTAGATTTTACTTTTTTTGTTTTTAGAGCTCTAATTTTTCATATAGCTGTACTTGTGAGTGGGTGTAAAACTATTCCCTTAATACGTATGTAAGAGAATGAAAAGGGTATGTTACCAACATCATAACCAAACATTTGTATTTTAAAGTCCCAGCTGGGACTGAATGAATATTTTATGAACTGAAAAGGTAATTTGAGTTCACTTGGCACAATTCACACAGCAGATGATTTGGAGCTGGCCTCAATTTGAGCTGCAGGGTTTGCAGTGAGTGAGTGAGAAAGGAATGGAAGGCAGTAGGTGTGTGTGGCTCTTTGTATGCTGCAGTACTTGGCCTTGAAAATTCTCACTGAAGTTGCCAATTTTATATAAAATACCTAAAATAGTCAGCCCAATGACTCAAACTCGTTTGCTCTGTCAGCAGGTTGTGTCACCTACAGCAATGACCATGCTACAGGTATGCTCAGACCCTAATTCTGGCCAAAGGTGAATAGACTTATTTCACCAGGAATAAGCAGCAATGATGGTGTTTGCCCTTGCTTCATAACTTCATACCAGAGTGGGGAGTAAACAGTCTTTTGAGAGAGAACAACCACCGAGCCAAATCTGAATCAGCTCTATTAATCAAGTAATGAAAAGTGCCTGAAAGCAAATCACATTTCAACTTTTCAGTGGTCTACAATACAGGGAGGTTGGGTTGATTTGCAATATTTTCCTTTTTTGGCTGCTTCAGTGAGAAATCAATTGTTTGAAAACCATGAGTGGTTAGAAACTCTCAATCAGCTTGTGATTAATAGAGAACAGGAATATAGCAAAAATTTTATTTTCTACTTTTCAGTGGGTATGTTAAATATTTTATCCTGCTGTTCAATTTGATTATTCTGACAACTTTCTGCATAAGATACAGAACTCTCCATGTGGAATAAATATTAACTCATCTCTCTTACACAGAATAAAAAGAACAGAGATGGATGGGCTTATGCCTGTAAGCAGAAAAACTGTGTTGCACTCTTGGAAAATGTGAAGAGAACAATGTCTAAAGGAATTATTCTGGAGTGATTAAATAACTATAAAAGATGTGAAATTTTTTTTTCTTAGTTCTTATGTTTACCTTCATCTGATTTTCCAAACTGGTTTTTGCTTATAGATATTCAGAACACCAAAAATTTTAAAGAGCCAGTGCACATATGTATGTGTATGTGTTTGACAAATATGACAAGTAAAACTTTATTAATAGTTCTAATTCTCAATCTTTGCACTCCTTGTAACAAATGCGTAAAAGATAAGTGTTACATATCATTCTTTGGTTGCTTCAGTCATTATTCAATGAGGCTACAAAAGTTAAATATGTGACTGAAAGTAGTAGATCTATATCTTATTTGAAAAAGCTCAATATCAAGTCAGAGGCATTCAAACAAGCCCTAGTTTGACTTGTAAAAAATAAAATATCACTTTTATATGTCTCAATAATATTTCATAATTTAGGGATATTATTGCTTGCTCTTTATCATGGGAAATTAAAATATAATAAGATCACAGTAAGATTTCAGAGTATTTTTCATCTGAGCAGCTGTTGGGTGCCAAGAGGGCAGTCCTGGACTGCCTACTCTGGGATAGGTGATGGATGTTCGGGATACCCTTGGGCTAAATTAAGGTGAAACAACGCCAAACGATCAATTACAAAGTTTTATTTAGGACAGCAAAGACTTAAACTTTCAAGTGATAGATTGAATGGCCCACAGCGACAACGATTTAAACGTTTCTAAACAGCATGTGGCAGCAGAGATTTAAACTGTTAAGGAGAGGGGAAAAAAGAAAGAAGGGAAGATAGAAAAATAGAGGTTGAGAAAAGGATCCAGGTCACCACTCAGGGTTTCAGCATCATCTGGGGTCCAGTTCCTCTGGATGGTGGGTGCACAGATGGTGGGTGCACAGATGGTGGGTGCACATACAGCCCCTCCAGTTGTGCTATTTATAAAATCGTCCTCACACGTTATTTTGTTATTTCTGAACTTTTCAGAAGGGTGTTGGGGGGCCTTGTGGTTTCAATTCCCCTCCCCTGACAGAGGCACAAGTGCAATGGTGTCTCAAATTTGGTTTTAGAGGCAGCTACTCAAGATAAGGAAGGTGGTCCCAAAAAAACACTATCCTGCCTCCAAAGACCCTCTTTCCTAACCTCGCCTTATCTCATTGTGAGACCCCTGGTGGCCTAGTGGTTAGCGTGCAGGACTTTCACTGCTGCGACCACGGGTTCGAATCCCCGGTCTCCTGGCCTGATGGAGGTCGTTAGCCCTGTGTGGCCATCCATCTATGAGAAGGACACTCTAAACAAACCTACGTCCTGAGGACCTCGCTGCCATTGTCCAAGCTTGCTTGGCCCCGGCAGATGAACCTTAGGATTAAAGGGTGGGCTCAGTTCAGCGCAGGCTGTGTCTCACCTAAAAAATCCATTGCGCAGGCTGGAAAGGTAAAAGACCTTTCCCCAAATCTTCGTTCCCGAAGATGGGCCATGATTATCTCATTGGCATAGTAACATTCCTTTTCTCTTCTGCCCATTGTTTGAGACATTAACTCTTCCGGGTTTACATTAACTCTTCCAGGTTTACATTAACTCTTCCAGGTTTTCAGTCTCTCAAAGCAACTCTTCTCTTTAGGATGAAAAACACGACCTACTCACCCTTCTCTATAACTGAGAAATTACCACTGACACTGAAGGCACACAGTAGACCATGAGCTAAGGCAAGAACCAAGATGAGTTTCTCTTTGAATCTGTATCCTAGCCACCAGACAAGGTAACTTTTATTCCAGTAGCAAATATTCTATCTTTATTATGTGTATTGCAGACAATCTAGGAAGCTCAAAGCAGGGGGCTGAAACCTATTGTTTAGGCACTCTGAGAACAAAAACCAAAAATACAGTGTATCAGGGGAAAACGGAACATGACAGAACAGTTCACAGCAGCATATTTTTTCTAAGGGCATTTTTCCTTTGTTTGCCACATATCCTGACAGTACTTCAGCCTTAAGACAAATTTGACAGCCTTAAAGCCTGTTTGGACAACTGTTGATGAAATAACGATTTCTGAAGTAACCAGCAGCCACACGGTAGCTACCCAATATGTAGCAGAGCCACAAGTGCTGACATTGCAATTTTCTCCACAAAATCAGTAATGACCGGAAAGGTCAACATAATTCAATTATACTTTGAAGCTAAAGTCTTTTACTGATGTCATAATGAAGGAGAATGATCTCAAACATCACTTATGACAGTCAAGAAATGTAACCTAGCAGCCCTCTGCAGGCTCTGCTCAGCAGAGCAAACTCCTAGAATGAAAAAGGTTCACTCATTTTTCAGAGTTTTTGTAGCATCTGTGATAGATAACAGTATTAACATCATGGCCAGCCTTATCTGTCAGGACCAGCAACTTTCACTGTGGAAGCTAAATTTAAGTTACTAATGTATGACATGATAAACATTGCAAGGACCTTTGGTAGTGCATGTCCCTGGATGTTACGAATGCTCACGGCTCTGAAGAACCAAGTGAAGCTGCAGTGCAAGCAGTGCACATCCAAGGAAAGGAACGTGAAACTTGGGCATCATCTCAGGTGCCTGGGAGAACTGAAATCCTGTGGGCAAAAGGGCAGCAGACCTGGATCTGGCCCCAGCTAGAGCCTGACAGCACTGAGTCACTCAGTGAGACCATGACAACCACAGCCTTATAGACACCATAAGGGTCACTTAAGATGCTTTTTTTTTTTTGAATTTGTGGTTTATACATAGGAAGACACATGGGAAATGACTGGGCTTGTGAAATAAAGCTCAGGTGAGGATTTGCATTGAGCCTAGTTATTACGTTAGACTACTGCAACAGAATCATTGAATCAAAGAATCATTTAGGTTGGAAAAGACCCTAAGATCCAACTGTTAATCCAGCACTGCCAGGTCCAGCACTAAGCCATATTCCTAAGTGAAACATCATGTATTTTAAATACCTCCAGGGATGGTGACTCAGCAACTCCCCTGGGCATCTTGTTCCAATGCTTGTCAACACCTTTGGTGAAGAAACTTTTCCTAAAATTCAATCAAAACCTCCCCTAGCAAAACTTGAGGCCATTTCCTTTTGTCCTGCCAGTTATTACTTGGGAGAAGACACCACACCCCACCTGCCTAAAACTTCCTGTCAGGTAGTTGAAAAGAGCTATAAGGTCTCCCCCAAGCCCCTATTTCTCCAGGCTGAGCAAATCCAGCTCCCTCAGTCGCTCCTCATAAAACAGAAGTGGCCCCAAGACTGAGCCCTGGGGAACACCACTGGTGACCAGCTGGCACCTGGATGTAACTCCATTCCCCACCACTCTATGGACCCAGCTGTCCAGCCAGTTTTTCTCCCAGCAAAGAGTGCACCTGTCCAAACCACGAGCAGACAGATTTTCCAGAATAATGCTGTGAGAAAGTGTCAAAGGCTTTATTAAACTACAGGGAAACAAAGCCTCTTCCTCATCTACTAAGCAGGTTTTCTTGTCATGGGAGGAGATCAGGTTACTCAGTCAAGCCTTATGTTAAGTACCTCAGAATCTTCCTCCTTCTCCTTCTTTGTCACTGTGTTTCCTCCTAACCAGCAAAGGCTGAAGATTCTCCTGAGCCCTCCTTTTGTTGCTAATGTACTTATGGAAACATTTTTTAGTCTTTTACAGCACTGGACAAATTAACTTCCAGTCAGGCTTTGGCTCTTCCAATTTTCTCCCTGCATAACCCCACAACAGCTGTGAAGTCCTCCTGAGTGGCTGCTCCTCCTTCCAAAGGTCATAAACTCTCTGGTTCCATCTGAGTTTCATCTCAGTTCCATCCAAAGCCCAGGCTGGCAGGGTGGGGTCACCATGGGGCTCTGGTACCTGTGACATCAGAGGGGACAAGTCTCCAGGTGCCCCATCTGGCAGTGCAGCCACCATTTCCCTGCCACCCAGCCCTGCTGAGCCCCTTCTCTCCCTCCTCCTCCTCCAGGCCATGGCTCTGAGCGTCACCCAAATCCTGATAGCGCTGGGTGTCCTACAATTCATGCTGCTGTTGGATGACCAGTCAGTCAAGGTCACGGAAGAGCTCCTGAAGCAGCATGAGGAGCTTCAGAATCAGGAGATGACTTGGTTGAAGGGGATGGAGAAGAGGATCCAGGAGCAGACCAGACTCAGTGAGGAAAGCCTGCTCCTCTCTGCCTGCCAGCGGTGGTGGTTCTGGGCCTCTGTCAAAATCCTCCTTGTGATTTTTGGGTTCTACTGGCTGCCGAAGCAGAGGAGTGCTGGCTCTGACAGCGGCAGTCAGCAGGGAAATTCCAGCAGTGCCCAGGATCAGAGAGAGGAGGAGGACTGGGAAGATGAATCAGACCCTTACAACACTCAAGACAAGCCCCTGGATAAGGTAGGGACCTCCACTGCATTTGCCAAGCCCTTCCCAAGAACAGCTTTCTGATGGCTGCATCCAGCCATGAGAGCAGGCAGCACTTACAAAGTCCTGGCACCCTCAAGGATAACATCACCAACCTCCTGCTGCTCATGTCCCTGAGACCACCCTTTGTGCACTTTTTCCACCAGGGCTCAGCACCCTGGTGGGTCTGCCAGTGAGACACTCCTGCGCCATTTGCAGCACTCACCGGAGAACGTGTTGTGCTTCCCCCTCTGCTGCCTGACAAGACAAACAGAAGACACATCCCTGCTTCCTGTGCAGTCTCTGCACCTGCTGCCAGTCCTGATGCTCCCCCTGCCGGGAGGCGTGGGACAGATTCACCCTTTGTGCATGTTACTAAAATTGTGTGTTTGTTTAGAGAAATGCTTTGTCTGTGGGTGTCTGGGCAAGACTGTGTTGGAGGATAGTACCCCTTGGTTCCACCTCCCCTCTCTAACAAAGAGATGAAGTTTGTGCTTCAATTTATGTTTGCAGTGATTACACTTGTGCTGAGATGCTTAGCACCTCCCTGTCTTCTCCTGGTGTTCTTGATATCTCCTCCTCCCTGTATCCTTTCCCATGTCCCAGAATGCCTCTAAACTGGCTTCAAAAGATGATGCTGAAATCAGCAGCTCCATCACGGGGTCTTGCTGCTTGTCCTTGAGCTGTTCCTCTTAGGAGGGTGGTCCCATCAAATAAACCCCCAAAGGCCTGCAGAGGCCATTGTGTTACCTATTTATGACCATCAGATCCTGACCCACAGCTGGAGGCTCAGCCACCTCTGGACAGAGTTTGATGGCTGCTGGGAGATGGCCGTGTGTACATAGACCTCCACAGGCCTCCTGCTGTTCTTCCTGCACTCCTCCTCCTAAGTGGGAATATTGCCTGTGTCTCCCAGGCAGCCGAGAAGGTCACTCTTGGTACAGGCAAATCCGTGTCTGTGGCCCAGGTGTCCAGGCTTGGCAGCACTGGAGCTGCAGGGGAGGCCTGTGTGAGAAAAGACAAAATGTTGCCCAGCAGAGGGAGGAGTGAGAAGTGTGAGGAACAGTGAGAAGGAGGAGGAGGAGGAGAGGGAGGAGGAGGAGGAGAGGGAGAAGGAGGAGGAGTAAACAATAGTAATAAATGCTTTTAGGAGTAAACTGCCATGGCAATCTATTATTATTAGCTTTTCATATCTTCAATAAAGTTTTGGACTTTTATAGTCTCATGTGTCAAGAGACCTGAGTATGTTCTCATGGTCATCTTTCTGGATGTCAGTCCTGAAAAGAGGCACATCCAGTGCCTATCAAACAGGTAAGCTGCACTCCCACAGTGGATCAATTCACCTCTCTGTTCATTCTGCAACTGAAAATAAGGGCTTGGAGCAGGACCAAGACTCTTTGAAGTGTTTTCAGTGATTTCACCAGCATGACCACCCTTTCCAAAAGCAGGGTGCACCCAAGGACAGGCGTGAGAAGCAGTCCATGTTGCTGTCTCTTCTTATAGGATTAGCCTGGTCCAGCCACGTGGACGCCTCATCTTGTTCCATGAGCATTTACTGTCTTTACTACAAGGAAAAAAAATATTAGTGTCAAATAAATGAAAAGCGTTTTCATTCCAGTCTCCATTAAACACAGTAAATTTCAAGACAACCAGAGTTTGTATGTACAGTTGAGAACACTTCACATGGCAGCCCGTAAACAAAATACAACATGCATTTTTAATTCTGTGAGAGTGTCACTACCCTAGAGCATCATTGGCACTTCAATTAAAATACCTCAAAGGAAAGAATAACAGAGATGCCTGGATGAAGGGATAGAATGAACCCTAAGGAAGTTTGGCACTGATACGAAGCTGGGGGGAGTTGCTGATACACCTGAAGGCTGTGCTGCCATTCAGTGGGACCTTGATAGGCTGCAGAGCTGGGCAGAAAGCAACCTAGTGAGGTTCAACAAGGGCAAGCGCAGGGTCCTGCACCTGGGGAGGGATAACCCCAAGCACCAGTACAGGTTGGGGGCTGACCTACTAGAGAGCAGCTCTGCAGAGAAGGACCTGGGGGTCTTGGTGGATGACAAGTTGACCATGAGCTGGCAGTGTGCCCTGGGGCCAGGAGGGCCAATTTTATCCTGGGGTACATCAGGAGGAGGGTGACCAGGATAGAGGGAGGAGATCCTCCCCTTCTACTCAGCCCTGGTGAGGTCACATCTGGAGTGTTGTATCCAGTTCTGGGTTCCTCAGCACAAAAAACACAAGGAGCTACTGGAGGGCCCAGCGGAGGCCACAAAGATGATGAGGGGTCTGGAGCATCTCTCTTATGAGGAGAGACTGTGGGAGCTGGGCCTATTTCCTCTGGAGAAGGGAAGACTGAGAGGGGATCTCGTCAATACATTTAAATATCTCGAATGTGGGTTCCAAGAGAATGGTGCCACAATCTTTTTCAGCGGTGCCCAGCAACAGGACAAGGAACAATGACTATAAAGAAACACACAAGAAGTTCCTCCTCAACATGAGGAAGAACTTCTTTACAGAGAGGGTGGTCGTGGAGTTTCCCTCTCTGAAGACATTCAGAACCCACCTAGATGTGTTCCTGTGTCACCTGCTCCAGGTGCCTGGACAGGGGAGGCTGGATCAGATGATCTCCAGATCATGTGCCTTCCAACCCCAATGATTCTGCGATTCTACGAACTTGAAAAATTACATGAAATTGCTTGTGTATGAAAATGCCAAAAAGAAGCATAAAATACAAAACACAATTTTTTTTTCCTTTTTCCTTTTCCCTTTTTCCTTTCTCTTTTCTCCTTTCCCTTTCCCTTCCCTCCCCTCCCTTCCTTTCCTCTTCTGCAGTTCTCTAGGTTCCCGAGGCCAATGTTATAAATACTCCAACCGGCAATTTCTATCAGAGCAGTCACTTTTTTGCCAAGATACGAGGATTTTCCATGTGCGCTTGGGGAATCCCACAGCGGGCGCCGGGCCTGGCATTGCGAGGACGTCCCGCCAGGGGTCCCCCTTGCACCAGATCCCGAGCACAGATCTGTTTGTGCAGGTCGAACTGGAAAATCTCCGTGAATTCCCTTTAAAAGACTTTACATATAACTACGTAAATATTGCTGCATAATCATTTGTTCACCAGAGAAGCCAGTTTTAAAGTACTTCCTCCATTTTGAATTATAACGTTCCTTGAAAGGACATAATTTGCTGATTAGAGATGTGTTTGTTTAGCTGCAGCGCCTGAAGCTTCAAATTTGATTGAGTTCATTCTAATCACAGAACTGATCTTATTTTCAGTAACATGGAGTTGTTTGTTCCAAATGCATTTATGAATTCTTATCTCAGTTATGTCACATGCTGGAAGTGATAGTACTCTTCCTAATTCCTAACATCATAAAACCTACGCAGAGGAGAAAGTGCTGGAAGAAGGAAACATCTTTTGAATTTCTATAAACTAAATGGGCTTAATTTCAAGTGTCTTTAATCCTGCTTATGCTGCCGTAAGGGACAGGCTCCAAAACCACACTTGATCCTTGTGCCTCTGACATGAAAGACCTGTCAAGTCTGACACACTGAGTGTGACACGAATACACTTGGCTCATGTCACACAGCCTCTGCCTATAGTTACATCTCCCTTGTTTACAATGCTTTACCATGTTTTCCTTCTTACTAAGTGCAACCTACCTCCAGAAGGAGCTGTTGCAACTGCCATTCCTTATTCTTCCAGTCTATAGGACGAGGGAGGAGAAAATATATTAAGTGAGGCAGTGGCACTTCACAGCACATTTTCCTGGCTCCTGTACCACCCCTTCTGCCCAGGGATCAGAGTACCTGCCCACCCTCTGCTTGGAACATTTTGGGAGAATTAAAAAATGAGCTTTCTGGGCCTTCAAGGCAAGCATCAAAGAGGGTAAACTTTTAACAAAGTAAGGCAGGGAGAGTTTTTGGTGATGACAGAAATTGCACCTGGAAAGTCACCTTTTACAGAACTTGTCTTGTCTCTGCTGCATACTGGAGACAGAGATGGCTTTTCAGAAATCTTCATTTTCAGCCAGGGATTAGAGTGGGACCTACAATGAATTAACTATTAATGTTACAAGCACATGTAATCCTCTGTCCCAAACTCCTATGTTGAACAGTCATGCCTGTGGGCCATAAGGTGAAGGACAGAGACCCAAGGATATACAAAGTTAGCGGCAAAATATTGCTTGAGCACCACAGAGCTCCTTTGCCAGCCCACTTGCAGCCTGCCTGTGAGCTGAGAGTGTCCATGCTCTCCAGGACATGTGTGCCAGGGATATGTTGCTGGAAGAGTAAGAGGTTCATTATCTTGTACCAGAAGTTACTGGTCTTTAGGTGCTATTTTAGGAAAAGGTCATCAGTGGGCCATAAAATGCTTGGAACATGTCCCCTCTCACCCCTCTCACCATTCTTCTGTGGCAACGGTGGGGAGAATGCCAGTGGAAAATTCCTATGAGGAAAATTCCTAATGAGGTCAGATACATTAGTTTTCCATCTTTTTTAACTACCCAAGCAGTGAAAGGCAATGGGAGTGACAGCCAACGCTGATCCAGACACAGCTCCGGGAAACATTATGCAGGAATAGGACCTTGATGTAAACAGGAGTCCAGGACTTTAATGCAAATAGGAGTCAAGCATGCTGAAAACATCAGGCTGATCTCCTCCTGAGATAGGGTTGTTCTAATCAGAAGAATTATTTGAAACTTAACTTAATCTCCTGAACACAACAATACCTAAATCTAAAGGTGAGTGTGGGAACATGTGACTAAGTACCCCAGCGTGGGCCTCGGAGCCTCAGAGCCAGCGTAGGCTGGAGGGCAAAGTGACATTAAAAAGAGAGAACAATTTGTACTCTGGCTAACATGCAGAGGTTTAATTTCTCCACAGTAGGTAACAAGCACCGACATCTGTGAAAGTCACTGTGCATTGAATAACAAGCATCCAAATGTGGGGCATCCAGAAAGTCGGCCAGTCCAGCCCTGCCAGCATCAGCAGCTGCACTTCCAAGTACAAAGTTTTCCTTGCAGTGACTGTTGATGGAGCCCAGGAACCTTTTCAAAGGAGAGGCTTCTCATCAAACTGTGTATTAATACCTGACTCTGGAGAGCTGATGGCTTTGTTTCATAATTTGATTCTGACAGAGGGGAATAGAGAAGGAAGGGAAGGCAAGAGAAGACGGCAAATGCAGGCAAATTCTTCTAAACTAGTTGTGATTCTAAAAAGTGATGTCAAGCTTCTTCTTTGCAGAAATGCTGAAAACAGTGCTGTGACACAGCAAATAAACCAAGCAGTAAGTGAGTAAGTATTACTGAATTAATTTGTTTTTAATGAGATACAATAATAAAGGTAATAATCAGAGAAAGGATGGATTCTATTTAAAAATTATTTT